CAATGATATCTTACAGAAGTTGAAGTGGTTGTGATTTAAGGCACCATCCAGCTCTCACATCTTGAGGCACCATGTAGATTTTTATACGTTTTCTAGACTTTTGATGATGATTGAAAAGAAAAGAAAAAATTCTATTAATAATAGATTAATATCATGAAGATAGTACGTTTACGTTGGTGTTGATAAAATTCGACATCAAATGGCCTATTGAGTCTTCTGACATATATTTTGATATACTACTTCCTAAACAGATGAACTAAAGAGTTACCAACTCTTTGATTTGGACCTTAAAGGTACCACTAAATGTATAACGTCAAAACCTCCTTCACTTCGAGGGCGTTCATAGCTTGGACCAAAAAGAAAGGTCCTGTTGGAACTCACCTACAGGGTAGCCATATTCTGGTCGGATCCCGCCTGTCGAAGACGAATTGCCACAAGCGTCTTCTCTGGGATACGTTCCGACTGGTTGGTTCCTAAAGAGATGGAGGCCTTATGCGCACGGGCTCACTTATCAGCCCTTTATCTAGATCTCATGGGCCACGAGCATAATTTACAGCTTGCAGGGTTGCGGTGGGGAGCTGGCCGTTTCTGAGGTGAAATGCGAGAAATACGAGAAATATCAAACCACTCAGCCGGATTTTTCGACTACTTCCACTGAGTGAATGAATGTATCAAGTATTTTAGACAATACAGAGTCGGTCATATCATTGGATACCACAATATTGAGGTTTACATTACCACCAACATGCTCAGGAACACCTTTCAACTCTTCTGCGCCGCGCTCGCAGCAGCCCCTGCACTTGTGATGGCTGCAGATGGCGATACTTCGTTCCCTAAAGTCGGCGAGCTTGATGTCGTCTTCCCGAGAAATGACACCTACGCGGTAGTCTCGCCTTTCCCCGTTATCTTTGGATTCCAACGCAGCAACGCGCTCCTCAGATTCGGCACTTATCTCGAATGGCAAGTCAGCTGCCCTCTGGTGATGTCCGGCATCGGATTCTTCCGTGGCGACGAGACCAGGGGACCTACACAGATTCCATACTACTACGTCAATGAGTCGCGTGCAACGGGAAAAGACGTTTACAAGGAGGATTTCCACCTCTGGAGGGGGGAGTCGAAGCAATGCACTCTGAGCTGGAAGTTTGAATTTGGGATAGACTGCAAGAGATACGACAACGGCACGTTTGAGTCACGAGTGGGCTACTATCCAGAGCAAAGCGGTAGCGTCAACTTTACCCTTGCCTTCGATGGTAAGCTCCCTCACGATGCTATCGCCGGCTACGAAGGATGTCCCGTGCCTGCTCTGGCTGTCGAGGTCCAGAAGAATCTTACTGGATGCCCGGAAATCAACGGCGCCGGGCTTGTCGACACCAAGCCTTGCGACCTTGACGTCAAGTCCGTTGCGAGTAGCTTGGCGGCGGCGGTTGCGGCACCAACTATCACCCTGACCGAAGCACCTGGATCTACAACAACTTCGCGATCGTCAACCACGAGAACAACGTCAGGGAGTAGAACCTCAACAACCTCGGCGACAGGAAGCGGAACGAGCAACAATAACGATAACCAGGGAAGCAGGTATGGCGCGTATGGTAGCACTGTTGCTATCCTATGGTGCGCTTTGATTGGAGTTTTCTCGTTTCTAGTCTTTATATGATTGAAGGTTCGGGCTCATTTGCTGTAAATAGGGTCATATTCTAGGTACATGTCTGAAACTGAGCAAGATACTATGATTAATATATACGAAGCTGGTCTCATGGTACCCTATCTGCATTATCCATTATCCACGGGACCATACTATTGCCGACGTACAGTAATCAACGGTGTGGCAAGCAAGACTTATGAGAGCAACTCCCGGCAAGAGTTCTGGGCTTTCCAAGTAGAATTATATCACACTACTGCCCTCCAAAACCCATGGAACAAAATTGGAGGGACCCATGCCCATCATTCTCTATTAAGAGACTCGTGAATGCAGCTTTCCGAGATTGGTGTGTGTAATTGACGCTGAAGTGCGACATGCGTAAGGGAATTGGTTCACTTCCGCCAATCCAACCTCGCATTGGTGTGCTATGGCCTTTCCTTGGCCGCCAGATAAGCCACCGGATGTGATATTGACGCAGCTTTTTCGATAGTTACGTAAAGTCAAAATCATAATTGGCTATCATTTTAATTCCGCGCATCTCATTTCCCGAGCTGAATGCATGTCTCAGTTCAGGTCGCAGCAGACCATGGTGGAGTCTTCCTTCATGAATGCGATGACAAGCAAGGACTTTGATATCTAGGCTGTGAGTGGGCGTTGGTGAATAAGTAGGCCTGTCCCCCGCCCAGTCAGATTGGAGAGCATACATTACTTTCAAGTGTCTTATTTCTTCTCCCTGTACAGATACGTTGCTTAGCTTACAATGACCCTTAACGAAAAGAATTTTTCTCTTGAAGAGGTTTTGGCCGTTGCCAAGCGCCATCCTTTCTATATCCCAAGTGTCCAGTATCCGCCAGACAAAGATGCCATCCTAGCGATCAGGAAGCAGGTTGCAGCCACACCTCAAGCGTCTGATCTGTCGTCTCAGCCATTGCTTTGGAAGAGTAGTTTGTAAATAGCACATCAGAACTCCCAATGACTTCACTCGGTTCTTTTTTTAACCGAGATATTAGGTATAAGACAATACAAAGACTAGTTGATGACACAAGCGATCAAAACACCTTTCGCCGGGGGATTTACACCAGCTCCACGGGCGGTGGTTCCTCCCGCCAGCCACTTTTCTTTGCCACTGACGTTGCTGAGAACCGTCAACATCGACTCGCTTTCGGTCGCTTCCTTGGAACGGTTGGGCTGGTGACGGACAAGGACTGGGTGGTCACCATTCACCCCGAGGGCGAGCTCTGCCGGTAGTTCCCCTTCTGAATTTTATAGTGCACAGTTGGCTAACATATGTACCAAATGACAGATCTCTGGATCTCACAATGGAAAATTTGGAAAATGGTGGTGCCAGTGTTCTCGCCGCGGGGGCTGACATGCTCCCGGGGGCGGTCATCAATCTCATCATCAAGTACCACGCCAACGTCCTGTCCGGAGAGTCGTCGCAGATCGTCAACATGGTCCATTACATTTCCTCATTGCCCATTAGCGAACGAGGCAAATTCAAGCTCGATAAGGTCATCTACACCTCGGAAAGCCTGACGTCTGGACAGCGAGCTGAATTACACAAAGTTCTCGGCGCTGATCTTATGATTTGCTCTCTCTTAGGCAGCGCGGAGGCAGGCCCATATGCATTTAGTTGTCCCAGCCTTACTGGTAAAAACCAGAGCGGCGACGGAACTGCGGCATATGAGGACTTTATTTTTGATACTCGGCTCACCATAATGGAGATTCTACCCGCGACACTCGACGAAAATGACGAGAATCAAACTCCAAGCCCCGTCCCAGATGGAGAGAAAGGTGTTATTGCCCAGACGTCGCTCGTCCGCCTGCGCAATCCACTGGTGAGATACATCACCGGAGATGTCGGGTCGTTGCATGATCTTCCAGAGCAAGCTCGAGACTTTATCCCCCAGTCGGCGTGGCCCAATCTCAAGGTGCTTCGGCTCTACGGTCGCGACCGTCGGTTTAGCTTTGAGTGGGCGGGCAGTTATCTTGAATTCAACGCCCTCGATGCCCTCATGAACAATAAAATTCGTGGGATACTCCAGTGGCAGGTCATACTTGAGAAGATGGAGGAGAGCCCACTGGAAAACAGGCTCGAGTTCCGTATTATGCTGGCTCGAGATAGCTGTGATTCCGCAGAGAAGATCTCCGAGAGGATCAAGAAGTTCTGCTGTGTGATTGCGTCTTTTGAACGGAAATTCAGGATCATATTCGTGAACGACATGGATGATTTTGTGCGGAGTCCTGGTGCTCGCAAGGTGATCAAGTTTGTCGACCGGCAGGGCTGAGTTGGATGATAGCTTTGTACATGATGTTTTACGATTCGAGATTAATACTTGCCTACTTCATATTCTGAACATGATGTGGCATCTTGGGGCACTGCTGAGGGATGCTCATTCTCCTTGCACAATGTGAACCACCTAAGTACAGGCAATGCGCTAACATGGAGAGATAGCTCTGTATTTAGCAGGGGCTGTATTTAATCTCTCGTCCTGATCACAACGTGAGTCCTTGGCATTTCGCCTAGGTATCTCGCCTTCCCTGAAGGTATCTATGCTATCACCGGTTGCTCTAAAGCTACCCTGAGCAAGGTAAGTCATAAGCAAGCTCTGCTGGTATTCTGTCACATACGACCATACCCATTCGAAAACACGCGATCCCGTCCGCTCTCGCCTAGTTAAACGGATGAGGGGTGGATTAGTAGTTGGGTCGGTGACGACCAGCGAATACCCGCTGTTGTATGTTTTTGCTATCTTATTATTTTATGGTTGATGAATTTCCTTTTTGATGCTCTCTCCACAAGGCTGACATATTCTGGCAATTGGTGACCAACAGCCAGAAGGAAAGACAGAGAGTACAGTGGAGCTGGAGCCCAAGTATGTCCTTGGCCAAAGGCTGAATAAGGATGCCCTATTTGGCTTCGAGCCTCAATTAGAACACCAGTGTGCATTTTTGTTCGGATAACATTCATAGTGAATATCTCCTTGGACTGGCGGTGTAGGGGATTGGCTCCCCCCGGATCTTGATGAGTTCGATAACCCTAACCTGGTCATTTTCATGAACCCTGTCTCATAGGGCAATGTTCTTCACCAACGACTGTAAATGCCCATGAAAGTACGAGAAAGGTCTTATTTTTCATCACCCCTGGTGTTGCTGCCTTGTGATGGCCCACTCTAACGCGGCTGTTCCTCTCAGCACTAAACTGCAGTGCCTCGTTTCACCGCACCGTGAATTCAGTGAAAGATCAATGGACAAGGTTAAACATATATATACCATCCTCATATCATCTTGGCTTGTCATCCCGTAGAAAAATGACTTATGAGTAACTCTCTGGACTAACAAAATTGGTACCTATTGAACCATGGCTACTCAAACTTCCGCTCTCTCTCAGACTCTGGAGAGCATCACGCTCACCAAGATACAGGAGCTCGAAAAGCAGCGAGACAAGTACGAGACGAAAAAAGCAGCCATTCTTGAGGAAGCGGCGGGATACACCGGCCTGAGAACCCGCATTGCCTCGCTTCTTCACGGCGTGAGGGAAATCTACCCTGAGTGTACCTCGGACCGGGACGTCAAGAACATCCACTATTGGTTGAACCAGTCGATGCATGATGTCAACGTCCCTGACGAGCTCCTGGAAAAGTACGAGGAGGTTCTCAGGTCCAAGCTCGAAGTTCCCACCCGCAAGTTTGGTCTGGGCCACCTGTACGCAAGCCTCGTCAAAGAATGGATGGCCGTGTCCGCCAGGGAGCCTTCGCCAGGCGCAGAAGAAGAGACCTTCGAGGTCATCGATCGCCAGAAGCAGCGACTCCAGGAGCTCTGTGACAAGTTTGAAAAGGTGGTTTTCGAGCCTCTTGAAACGGACGAAGCGGAGATTGAGCGTTATCTGATCGACTTGTTTTCACGAGTGGATGAAGCCAAAGGTCAGAAATCTCTCGAATTCTTGAGAGATTCAATTGGGAAATCTTGCTCCTATGTCTTTGAGGCTCAAGCACCATTCGATACAGATGTCTTGAGATGGTGTATCAAGGGCCTCCTAGCTGAACACTTGATCAGTGAGGAAAAGCAGAATTTGCTTCGAGGGTTTCTGGAGAACGATATTGTGCTATCTGAGATGGTTGATGTCTTGAACACAAGATTTTCAGATATCGAAACTTGGGAATGGCAGGTCGGTGAAAATGGCAGTGAGTACCGCATCCCAGCCGCAAGGCTTGGGAATCCACTTGAGATCGATCAAATGCTGATATATGCGCCACTAGTTCCCGTTCTTCCCAGGCAGCAGCTCAATGGCAAGTACCGAATTTGGATTGATGAAGACGTTTTGCAAGCCTTACTCGTTCACTATATTGGCACAAAGTTCTGCGTTAGCCTGAAACAAACACTTACCCAGTTCATCTCCACCGGGTCTACTTGGAAATGGCATATTGGACCATATCCTTACACTTGGGACAAAACCCGCCGTCTCTACTATCTCATGAACGATGTTTCGCCAAATACATCAATCAACACCATGAGATATTCTCAATACATCCAAGACTTCTTTACATGCGCCTTGCCAAGCTCTGAGCATTCTCAAAGTTTTGGGGGCTATCTTGACGAAGCCCCGGATGAGATGGAGGATGCAAAGAAGGGCGGGAAGGGCAACGTCAAGCAACAGTTGCTCCGAACTCTCGCCAGCGAGGCACTCCTACATCGCCATTTGAAGGGCGAAGTAGCCATGATCCAGACTGATCTGGAGTGGTATGCTACCGGCCTCTCTCACTCTACCATCTTCTCCGTCATGCGTTTCTTCGGCTACTCAGACAAAGTGATCAACTTCTTCACCAAGGTCCTCCGGCCACCTCTAAATGTTCAGTCCCCTGAGCATCCTTTTGGAAAGGGCCCTCGTATCCGACAACGAGGAGTTCCCATGTCTCATGCTATTGAGAAGCTGCTTGGTGAGATGATTTTATTCGTCATGGATTTTGCCGTGAACCAGAAAGATGGGTTACTGGTTTATCGTCTGCATGATGATATCTGGCTGTGTGGAGAACCGACCCATTGCGCCAGAGGATGGCAGGTTATGTTGGATCTAGCAAAGGTCTTTGGCCTAAGCTTCAACCAACAGAAGACTGGATCGGTTTATTTCACTGGGAGTATGAAGGACCCTGCCGTTGAGCAGGTCTTGCCGACAGGAGAGGTTCGCGTCGGGCATCTGGTTCTTGATCCCGCTACAGAACTATGGAAGATTGATTATGTTCAGGTATCTGAGCATGTTGTGCAGCTCAAGAAGCAACTAAATGCCTGCAAGAGTGTGATGCAATGGGTTCAAACATGGAACAGCTGCATGGGTCGATTCTTCAGCCATACGTTTGGTGAGCCTGCATTCTGCTTTGGCAACGGACATGTTGAGAGCATTCTGGCCACATACAAGGAGATGCAGAAGGCTCTGTTTAATGAGGGAAATTCTACAGATATTGGCGTTGTTGAATATCTCAAGGGTATTATTCGAGATCGCTTTGGTGTTACTGATGTCCCCGACGCCTTCATTTATCTGCCGGAGCAGTTTGGAGGACTGGGCCTCGCCAACCCGTTTGTTAGACTGCTTGAGATTCGCGAGAGTCTTCAAGAGTCACCACCAGAAAAGATTGTTCAGAAGATCTTGGACGAAGAGAAGAAAGAATATCTTGAGTTCAAGAAGACTTTTGAGGAATATCGCAACTTTGAAAAACGCGTCAGTCGCTGCATGCGGAAGTCTACCAACCAGGAACTCAAAGAGACGTCATTCAATAGGCTCACAGCTATTGAGCGTGAACACTTCATGAGCTTTGAAGAATATTCTCGATTCAGAGAAGTCTTGAGCCAGCCACTAGCTACGGCTTATGAGAAACTAACAGGAGTCCCTGACGTGATAGGACCAATTTTTGACGATGATGTACACAAGATACTTAGCTACGGCGCCGATAAAAAGCTTCTTGGTGGCGATGCAAAGAAACGAGAGATCGGCTGGGCATTGCAGCTGTACGCAGATACGCTTCGGCGCGACTATGGTGGTATGAGGCTCGTCGACAAGAAACATCTCCCTCTGGGCGTCGCAACAGTCATGCGAGGGAAAGCAGTGAAGTGGACTATGATTCTATGAGGTTGAACTGTCTTTCCTTTGTATTAGTTTACTTTGAGGAATTTGCATGTGGTCTATCTTAACATCTGTTGTTGTTCTCTTATGTTTTGATGTCTGGTTTAATACGAAATATTCTCTTACTTAGCCGGCTGATTATTCTAAAATTTGATTATCTTTGCTTTCTAGATGGGAGCCTTTACTGTGATCATGGCATTCAACTCTGACCTTGCTATGTTATTCTCAAGATCCTCTCCTTTCATTGACATACTCAATCCCACTACGAGGCAGGCATGCCCATTTAGTTGCGACAAAAGCAAAGTATTGAAATCAACCAGGCATATTCAATATAATACTAAGCAGGCAACGGTGGCGAGTCAAAGTTGAATTGCATACATGCTATCTGTTAGGAGCACCTGTAATGGTGAATTGGCGCCCCGAAGATAGTCCACCTTGCAAGCAAGATAATATGGACGACAGCCAGTTCCAAACAGTGCGTCTCAATATCCAGACCGAGAACTTTATCCGGAGCAATATCCGACCTTCTTCGGCTCGCAGCCTCCTGCACAGCCATCGTAGAAAACGCAGGGGTGGGCAGCATCTGTGCAGACGTTCTTGAGAGTGGCAGTGTCTCCGTAGTTCAGGTTGATGCCAGCGACTTCACCACCGTTGCGGGCAGTTACGCCCTCGATGTATACGTTACGCTTGCACTGGCTGCTGCAGTTGCCGCATGACCTGTAGACCTTTCCGTAGTCGTTGGCGTAGAAGTTGATGATATTCACCGTACCGCAGCCGTTGTGCTGAACGATCTTGTCAGAGGCCTTGTAAGCACCACCTCCGATAATCCAGGAGTGGTCTCCGGACTTGTCTCCTTTCTATTTTTTGGACAAAATTAGTAAGAAGTCGGGATTAAGAGTTTAGAGAGAGTTGGAAGACTAACAATGGTAATGGCGTCCTCGCAGACGTCTTCAAACCAAACAAACCTCAGGGTGCAGGGACCGAGGCAGTGCACGCCCTCCATCTGGTTCTTTCCAATAATGACGTTCTGAAGAGTAGCGCCAGACTCGAGAAGGAAAACAGCATCAGAGTCGCCTTTTGCACAGATGTCAGCCAACTTCATTCTCTAACTTAGCGATCTTCAGGGTTTACTAACCTCCTTCACCATCCTTGCAAGCGCCAGAGCCACGGTCATACTTGACCCAGCCGGCATCGAAAGTTTGTCCAGCTGCGATCCTAATAGGCGCAGAAATTGACTTTGAGCTCGTTGGAGTGGGAAGGCCACCTTCCCAGCCCAAGCAGGCCAGGACTGATGGAATCAGACCAATGGCGAGGACGCCGACCTTTGAGAGTGAAAGCATTTTCAAACACCTTATGCTGATGATTCGGTACTAGATAGAAGACTTTATGCCTGTTTAGATCACGAAAGAAAGTATTTTTTCAAGTTGAATAACACAAGCAGCTACTTTTATACGCGTGCCAAGACTCTCTCGACTTGCACTGCACCTTAGTTGCTCGTCAAGTCCTCCCTTATTTTAAGCACAACGGTAAGCTTAAGCACCTGATTGATGGAAATACCGGCAATGGTGGCAATTCTATATTATGGGCTACTAAGATAGGCTCATGCGGTGAAAGAAGCATCAAAACAAACATAATATGTCCGTGGCTTATTAGGGAGATGGTGAGAGAACCCATGAGAAGTCTGGTGATTCTATTGGAGCGCATTTATGTGACTGCCCGGGTCATCCCCCACCTACGGACGAAAGGTCGTAGTGCTGGAATGCTGCTCCCTTTCACATGACTTATGCCCAGTCGGTTCAAAGTATATTGAATGAATGCCAGCTAGGATCAGGCAATGAGACCTTGTAAGTGGTGGTGGTATCACAGTTGTCAGACACCAAAACGGAAGTTCGGTAGCGTCTGCCTCCGAGGTATGTTTTGGGATTCAGGAAGCCACTGAGAACGGCAGCTGAACTGTTCAGAGCTGATATGAGAAATAGAATAGATGTATTGGCCTTCCCTTGAGATATACAAAGAAAATACTCATATGTGGAGGACCTGACATGCAGGTTAAAAATAAGGGAGTCATGGATATTCAGTATGCTACAAGCGGTCATGATATGCGCATCTGCGGTAAGTTCGAAACACCGAGCTGTGGCCGACCAGGGCACGTATTTTAGAGCCCTATGAGGGATAATTTACTCCCTTCAATCGTAGGCGACGTTGCATCTCCCGGCAGGAATTTCCCCGCACGATGCATGATTGGCGGATCCTATCAGTATTCAGTCTCAAGATGTGATGGCCGAGAACCGAGTATGTTGGTACTGATGGTTGGAAATGATCTGGGAAACTTGGCGCAGGATCATTTCTTTCAACACCAAGCCATCAATAGCGACACGACTCATTATCCGGGATTCAATGTTTTGCATTAGACTGCGTGTGGAAGAAGACCCTTGCTTCTTGTTTTATTGTTATGTAGGTCTAGCATTGGCGGGATCATTACACCGCGTTGTGTACTGAAGGATGAAGATGTCGGGGTTTGACCGCCGTTAAATCTCCCTACTTAAGTACAATGTGTCAGACAGTATGATACCAAGATGTTTTCGTCCAGCTGTTTGGGTTGGCCCAGTCTCTTTCTTCCACCGACCTGTCACATATGTCTGGTAGATGTCATGCATTGTATTGTGAAGTACATCAACTTCTACGATATCATGCGAGGCATATAGGGCCGGAATACCTGAGGAACTCTGCGGTTTATTGTGCCGTGGAGGTGATGAGGAGCTTTGGTCGTTTCTCTAGGTACTTTAGCGAGGATGGATGTGTTCGTTTGAGAATGTTGTCATCTTTAAATGAATGTTGCAAGGCTAAGAGTTCTCCCAAATTTTCAATTATGGATTCGCATTCTCAGACTGGCCACACGAAGACTTCAAGCCCTGCCTGAAGCGGCTTACCTCTTCTCACAAGTTCGCGGACCCTCCTATCTCATAACGGAAAGAGACTTCATCGCCGGGTGAATACCATTGACGGCAATCCACAAGGAGAACTGGATTTGGCTCCGCAGTCTGATATACTACGGTGTGCCGGATTCGGCATTGCAAAAAACAGCCATAACATCTCACGGAATTCCAGCGCCTGCCCGACGGACATTGGTTGTCCCCAATCAAAATTGGGACCAATGATACGCGACAGGAGCTCACTGGAACGAGGATCAGGAGCCATAATGCCTTATGCAAGCCCTGCCTAGGAAGTATAACGCCACGGAAACCGTAGTTGAATTGGCTTGGAGGTTGTACATCTGAATGTTTCTCACTCTTCTCCCCTGGTACAAGCAAATACCACGCTGGTTATACATGGATGCAAGGTTCGCGGGAATACCTGGCGAGTTGCTCCTAATCCTTAGGTTGGAAAAGGGTGTTGCTACCCCAGCAGAGTTCAGGATAGCACGGCACATGGGCAGCGGATTCCACTTGTAGATTTGCTCGTTTAATACGTGCTCAAGTACTTCCTAGTTACATAATAATGGCACGGGGCCGTGAGATTATTGTGTCCCCGCCCGCCAATCTCACTCAGCCCGTGATTTTCTCCATCTGCAAAGTACCAGCCAGCGAGCAATCAACCTCAGATCCAATGTGACCGCACCTACATCAATCGAGATCACCGCTGTTTCCTTATCTTGCGACATACTTAGCCGGCGGCATTTTGTCGGATGTCTAGGAAGAGAAGTCTGGGGCCATCGCGATGCGCTGCTCCTGAGAGACCACCTGTGGATGTTTCAGCTGCTACAAGATCTCAATCGGCAGGTCTGCAATCAAATGACGACGATGAGACGGATCAAGCCGCCCAGGTGAAACCTCACAAGCGCAGAAGAGTTACTCGGGCATGTGATGACTGCCGACGCAAGAAGATCAAATGCGACGGCAAACAGCCATGTTCAAGCTGCGCTGAATTCAACGCAGGTAAATGCAAGTCAATATCCGACAGGAGGCCTCCTAGTAACCACTCCCGTACTTTAGGATGTACATACCAGATCCCACCCAAGCGCAGCAAGACATGTTTGCGCCGCCCGCAGCCGGATGCCGATGATATAGAGGCCAGGCTGGAGCTTGCCGAGTCACTCATCCGCAAGTTCCTGCCGCAGATTGACTTGCAAACCCTGGGCTCTGCAGCTGGCCAGGTCTTGGAAGGCCGTGATACGCGTGATGATGTCTCCAGATCTGCTCAGGCTTCGACTGTCGAGCCGCCCGCTGAGAGTGACAAATACATACCTGTTATCCAGAATGAAGATCAGTTGCGTTTCACCGATAATGGCGAGCTCGACTTCCATGGCACTTCGTCCAGCGCGACCTTCTTAAGCCGTATCACTCAGAATCTCCCGGAGCTCCTGCGATACGATTCCAGGATCCCGTTTCTTCCGCAGTTTCCACGGCCTGATGGCCCTCTAGCCGGCGCATCGTCGTCTTCTTCTGGCTATTCTAAATACGATTACTCCAAATTACCTCCTCGTCACCTGGCACGCATGCTATGCGACTACTCTTTCAACCATGCTTCATGCCTCCTAAGGATAGTCCATGTTCCCTCTTTTTGCAAGAGCTTCGACGCGTTGTATGACTCAGAAAAAACGCAGTATGCGCCAGAACAAGGAAGATTTCTTGGACTGCTTTACTCGATATTGGCCTTGGGATCTATGTACGATGTGGATGAGAATGATCCATCCAACCCAGATCACTATAACGAAGCCACCACCCGGGGGTAAGTATCCAGGCATTACGTTACCTACTTCTAGTTGCTAATCTAATACGCAGGTACAAGTACTACTTGGGTGCCAGGTTCTTTCTCCCGGACCTCACTGAGTGCCCAGATATGACAAGCCTGCAGGCCCTTCTCTTCATCATTCAGTTCTTGCAAGCTATCGGAAACCTGAACTGCTGTTATAATCTAATCGGAGTTGCTCTACGAACAGCCTTGAGAATGGGATTGCACCGCAATCTTCCTAATCTATGCACCACTCCCATCGAGAGCGAGACGAGGAAACGAGTGTTCCACACCATCCGTCAGTTGGACATCTACCTCTCTGCTACCTTGGGCCTACCGATTCTTTTGCAGGCCAGAGATATAGACCAGCCTCTGCCCACTGCCATTGATGACGAGGATACTATACAGGATACAGCCCACTCCGCACCACTCAAGAAACCCTCCATCATCCAGGCATTCAACGCTCACGGAAGGCTCATGGAAATTCTGGCCATAGTTGTCGAACGCGTGTATCCGCCCACGGCTACGAGCAGGACAGCAACCAACGCCACATACTTGATTGACTGTGGCCAGATAAGAGAAGTGGAACAGAAGCTCCATGACTGGTACCATGACCTTCCCGTCATCTGGAGACCTGGGCATGATAACGACGTCCAGCTAATAAGGTACTCTATACCTTGAACGGGAACCCACTCCAAGACAGACTTTGCTGATACGATTGTTAACACAGGGTCCAAATCTTGCTTCGTTTTGCGTTTGCCCACGTTCAAATGATGCTCTACCGGCCATTTCTGCAGTTCTTCAACCAGCAAAAACACAATGGGAACCCCCCTGACCAGCGTCATCAGGTGTTTGCAGCCACCGGCATCACCGTTTGCCGCAACATTATCAGCATCGGACACGAAATCAGGAAGCAGGCTGCTCTCTTGGGACCCTATTGGTTTATCCTCTACACCCAGTTTCTAGCGGTTTTATGCCTGGTTTCTTATGTGTCCAATAATCCCAGGAAGCCGGAGTCGTCTGAAATTCTCGCCGATGCTGTCGCGGGTAGGGAGTTGATCTCCGGCCTATCACTGCGAAGTCTCGCAGCTGACCGGCTTTCTGTTGCTCTTAATGTAGGTGCACCCTCCTCGTGGTAGAACAGGCATTGACTAATTATACCAGGCGGTTTTTGAACAACTGCCCAGTCGGTTGGGTTCCACGCCCCCCACGACCAAGAGCATCACACGGCGATCGCCACGTGGCTCCGTGGAAGGCTTCAGCCCCGGCCCTTCGTTATCGAATCTTAGCAACGATTGGCACCTCTCTAGTGCCTCGGCTCCTAGACTGGCTGCGATACAGGAAGGCATTGTAACCAACCTCAGCGAGACGCCGACACAAGCCTCTTCTAATGAGGCGACTCCGCCGAGCCTGATACCTGCAGATCGACTCTTGTTTTCCTTTGATGACCCCGTTGCCTATCCTTCAACAACAGTCTGGTCAGAAGCACTCGATCCAACTCCCGGTCTAAGTGACGAGACAATGCACCTCGTCATTCCAGACTTCTTCGGAGATTTGACCGGGCATGATGCTGAGCCATCCGTGGCGGCTCAATCAGGAGACAACCGCGCAGCCTCTCACCCGGCATCTGCGCTGTTGTCGATGGGCAGTGGAGGGTTGCTGAGTGATTACATGGCAAGTCTTTTCTGATTGCGTTGGACTCGGGTTAGAGAGAGAGATATGTCCCACAACATGTACAGTTTTCTTCAAGTATTACAGAATTAGACATAGCGGCTCTGTTGACCACTTTGAAATTTCAGTGGACTGAACCCAGCTTCCGAATGCTGCATCACCTTTGCGAGAGTTAGAATGGTATTAGTTGCAATAAAGTGGTGGTGATAAAACGTGACTTGGCTTAAAACTATTCGCTCCCAACCAGCAGACTTGACTAACTCCTCCAACGACACGGGCAAGTAAGCCGCAACCTAGACGACACGAACGAAACCAAGACCGGCATTATCACTGCAAGACCAAGCCAAGGGCCATCTTGGCCTAGAACACGCAAAGAGCCCTCACCAAGCCACCCGAGCGATAGGACCTTTCGGAAACTGTCTCACCAACAACTTCCGGATCTCGTCCATAAGCAGAATGCCCAGGGCCAGAGGAATTGGGATAACCCAGAACTCGATAGGAACACTTGCGGTGAGGAACAAGTTTTGCAAGCCCGGAACCTCTGTCACAAAGATTGCGATGGACAAGCTAATTATCATGCTCAGGAGCAACCATGGATTCCGTCTCTTTTCCGTAATGGGGTCCGCCTGCAGAATACTCAATCTGCGGTTGCGCACGGCAAGAATATTTCCCCATTGCAGAATAACCAGCGTCACGAAATACACACACTGGCCAGTGTAGTTGAACTGTGCGAGCTCATCCGCCGAGTACCCGTGAAAACCATCCGTGTAGCCCTCGAAAAGGAAGAATAGGTCCTTGATTGGGATGCGAGCCGCCTTCCAGTAGTAGAGGAAGTACATGGCGTGCGCGACGCAAGTTTCCATGGTTCCCGTGAAGAGGTATGCTTGGCCATAGATGCGAGCGTTGATCAGATGGTCTTTCTTATGGTTGCGCGGGGGAATAGAGAGCAGATCAAACTCTGCCTTCTCCATGATGAGCGATAATGAGAGGAATAGATCCGTAAAGACACAGATAATGATCATCAGGAAGGATGATAGAGGGAGTGGGACACCGAAAAATACGTTGACGAGAACAGGCCAAATCTCTGACCAGGATCCAGCAGGGAGAAGGTAGGCGATAACCTTTTGCAAGTTCTGGAAAACAAGTCGCCCAAGACGGACCGCATCGATGATGGAGTCAAACTTGTTCAACAAGACAAGGTCAGCTGCGTCAATAGCCACATCGCTGCCAGTTACCACGGCTACGCCGACGTCTGCAGCTCTGAGGGCTGGGGCATCGTTCACACCGTCACCCGTAACAGCTACTACGTTATCCCGCTGCTTGAATCTGATATCTGTCAGTAACTCATGCTTCGTCGTGTGGTAGCTCGTGTGACTTACTCATTGACGATGCGAAGTTTCTGCTCGGGCGTTGTTCTTGCGAATACAATCTCCTCATATTCACAAACGAGGTTCCAGTCCTCGTCGGTCAGCCCAAGAACTTCCTGTCCCTCCACAATCAATGCCCGACCTTCGCCTTCATGTCTGCTATTCCTGAGTACGTCCACGGTCAGCTGTGGATTTTTCTGCATCTCGCCGACGGTATCAGGCTGGTGACTTTGGGTGAAAATGCCGATATTTCTCGCTATCGCTGCCGCAGTCAGACTATAATCTCCGGTCACCATGAAGAACCGAATGCCAGCTCGGCGAGCCTCGCGAACAGTGCTAGTTGCCTCGGGGCGTGGCGGATCGATGATACCGAGAACCCCAACCACCGTCAGACTTTCAAGGGCAGTGTTGTGAATCTCATCGCTAAAGGTATTTGTGCCCAAGGTATTTGTCGGGGTTACTGTCTTTTCGCAAAGCATGATGACACGCTGAGCATCGCTGGAAAGACGGTCCTGAGTTGCCTTCAACGTAGCGCGAATCCTCTCGTCAAGAGGGAGTGGACATTCACTTGTCTTGGACCAGTAATGAGTACAAGCAGGAGAGAGAATATCGGGAGCACCCTTTATAAATACTCTGTAGGATTTGTTCTCCGCGGATGAGGTATCGGCGAACATGGTCAGCATCCACTTGTTTTTCGAGTTGAAGGGGACAGTATGGGCACGAGGATTTGAGCGCTTGAGTTGTTCGTATGCGTCTGCCTTTGCAGCAAATCGCAGAACGGCTGCATCAGTGGCGTTGCCCTTGACTTTGCGTTGATCAATTGGAAGGGGATCCGAGGCAGTCTCGAAATATGCGTCGTTGCATAGAGTAGACGCCGCGTGCAGCTTAGTGAAGGCGTTTTCGGGATTGCCACTCGTGACGGCCTTGTGAACCTCCTCCGGTGATGACATCTCGTCAGCAAATGCCACGGATGACACGGACATGAGGTTCTGCGTCAGCGTGCCTGTCTTGTCTGAGCATAGGACATTGACACAACCCAAGGTCTCGACGGTGGAAAGGCCCTTGGGGAGGATGTCGACTGCTTTCATGCGCCGGGCAACCATCATCAGTGTAAGCGATACGCCAATAGGCATACCCTCGGGAATGAAGGCGACAACGCACCCCATGACATTGTTCAGCATGGCAACAACGTTCATGTAACCACTGTGGTCAACCCGCAGCCAGCCAACCCAAACTAGCACGATCAACAACGCGAGAATAACAGTGAGCATGACAATGATCCTAACGAAGCGCCAAATCTCCCTCTGAATAAGGGTGGGCACTTCTTTGACGTCGCCCATAGCTTGAGCTATCCGACCCATCACGGAACGAGATCCAGTGAGAACAACAACGCCCAGCCCGTTTCCGTTGACAACCAAGCTGCCCATCAAAGCGATGTTGCGGCTCTCCAAGAAGTTGGGATCTGTAACATCAATAGCTCCCTCGATCTCGTCGGATTCGCCGGTAAGCATAGATCTGTCAAACCGAATATCTCCGGAATGCTGGATGATTCGCATATCCGCTGGCACTTTGCTGCCCATGGCGAGCTGAACAATGTCGCCAGCCACCAGCTCAGAGGCCGGAAGCACTTGAACCTCGCCATCACGAAGCACTTGAGTCTCTGAAGGAAGAAGTCCGGTGATGGATTTCATTGTGCGGGAAGTCGACCAGTCAGAGAATGCACTGAACCCAGCTTGGAGGAAAATCACAATAAGGACCAATATTGCCAATGCCAGGTTGGTTGGGGAAGGAGGATCACTCAGGGGCCGCCAGCAGATGAAGAAGACGATGACACCGACCCAGAGAACAGAGCAGAATCCACCAAAGATGTATCCAAGCAGCTTCCTCATGTAGTTCGTCTTTGGCTGAGGGAGAACATTGCGGCCGTCGCGCGCGAGGCGGCGCCCGGCAGCATCAGCGGACAGGCCAGATTCAGGAGAGACATTGAGCTGTTGGCAGATCTGCTCCGATGCTAGCTCATGGTAGTGTAGGCCGGAAAAGTAATCGGTATTGTCCTTTTTTGATACTTTGAGATCGTCGGAAGAGTCCGGTTCCCGGTGCTTAGACTCGGAGACGTGGATAGAGAGGGTACGATGCTCTATCTGATATCCAGAGTATGGATTATTCGAGGCCCGGCTGAGAGACCTACGACGGCTGGAAGCGCGACTTAAAGATCGGGGGCGCCCACGACCGCGGTTTTCCTGGGTCGCAGGGTGATCAGTATCGTGAAAGCTGATATGCATGCCTTTTTCGGGCTCGGGGTCTTTGGCATTCATCTTTGTGGCCTGGGTCAAGGAAGTAGAGGGACAGAAACAAGCAAACAGACGAGTGAGATGACAACGCGTAATATTGACAACCTTTGGTTTTATACTTCCGACTCAAGGCCCCAAACTACATTTGCTCATCACGCAGATGAGACAATTATTGTCCCCGCTAGCAGAGAATAATCGACACATGCATCCCAGCTGAATTCCCTCGCCGATAACCTCTCGGCTTTTCCTGCCGTACGTTACGTGGGAAAATGAGAAAACCCCCATCCGATGGGAGGCCGCTCGGAAAGACATCGAGAAGAGTTTGGTTTGGTGGACATCCCTCAGTTCTTATTAGTCTCTGCTAGTCCGGCTGTCCCGCGTAGCCGCCTAGCAAGATCATGATTGGCTCAGTCCTAAGCTGACCCGGTGTGAGAAGCTGCACTCTGTTCCGCATAGCCGGCTGTGGAGCAGTTGATTGGTCAGTCACATCTCTCCGACATTACACACAGGCTCGATCCCACGGCCCAAGACACGTGCTATGAACCTCTGCAGTTGCAGGAACAGCGATTGCTCTGCAAGATTGAGATAAAGATAGTCCTAAAGTAAGCTGGAAACGCAGGAGCTCAATCTCCACCTACCCGTAGGCATGAAACATTGTGGGAAACCGCATCCAGTATCATGGCCTACCCATAGTATAGGCGTCATTGCCGGCTAGAATCAGATTATTGATGTGACTAAACGCGCCTCAAGCTCGACGAGGCTCTATAGGGACCCCATACCAATGCTATGATACAATAGCAACGTACAGCGAGGTAGTAGTGAACAATGATAGCACCCCTGGTACAGTGGCAAATTATCGTACAGGCTGGGATGGTTTTCAGGGGAAGTCTAAGAACATGTATTCAACACTCATTTTACTACCCAAGTCAGAGATTTTCAAGCCTTGCAACTTTTCAGTCTGCGCAGCACTGACCTCCATATATAATTAATCTAGGGATATTCAATTTCGTCGACAGTTGTCTTGCAGAAGCCTCAAGGAGCAGGGAGATGACTCAAGCAGTCAGTAAAGCTTATTCTGCATCTCATATCTGGTACCAAAAAGTACAGCTCGTGGTTCTTTAACTCCACCTAGACGCTTCTTCTCAAGCCAGGGACGCTCCAGTCAGCGCAATGACTCAACCATTAGAGCTCTCTCTAAGCGTATAACACTACCTGTATTGTACAGATATGTTTATTCTTTACTTAGGCTCGAGTGTCTAAAACTTTAACCCCCAAGGTCTAATATGCATGCTCATTCATATACAAATCTAATACACAATGGTTTTGGGTTTATCACGATCTTTCCATTGAGTGGTACTCA